TAGAGAATCTCGTTTTGGGAAATGGACCCCTTTTTTGGGGCCCCAGTCCTTTTTAGGGGAAATTGATGGGGTTCTCTGGTAGATGATTGAACCACCATGTAAACCTGGGAAACCCATCTATTTTTCCAGGTAAACCAGGTAAACCAGGGAAACCGAAACAACGGGTTCCCTCCAAAAGTACACATGACATTCATTTGGGGGGAACTTCGTCTCAGGGAATCAAGGGCACCCTTCTAGTAAGCCTTGTACACAGGGACGCTTGGTTGATATAATTCCCTTCCGTGAGAACCGGCAAGTACGTTCTCTTTCAGGTTTGCTTTCTTGGTAGAAACTCCCCACATGTGTCTTCTCTTTCTTAAGACAGGCTTCCAAGGAAACCTGTCTGTCTTCTCCTATGGGCGGGGTATCTTTCTTTATTGACCGTGGGGGGGTTCTTCATCGGCCTCGCTTCCAAGAACCACTGGAGATCACGTATGGGAGGGTTCACCAGAAGCTGACATTAGAGCTTGGAATTTGTTCCGTTTCTGCATGGGAGATTTTGGTGAGTTCACCCGAAGATCATCCCCTTTTCTTTACATCGAGAGAGTTGACCGCCCCCTCGTGTTTGCCTGCCTTGTGGAACGTCAGTGGAAAAAAGGCTCTAAGTTCGGCTTTCCATTCGCTGGGGTTCCCAAAAAATCGGATAAGATCGGGTGGATTGAACACTCTCTGTCAAAGAAAGGTCGCTACTGGCCTCCCTGCTGAAATGATAGAGCCAAGAATCCGCATCCTCACAGCTGGGGATTTATAGTACTGCTCAGCAGGGAATGAGGGAATGACCCTTATAAACCACTAAAAAAGCCATCCTTCTGGCGGTTTCCTTTGTTCGGGACTCCCCAGGTTCATTCCATTTCTCATTCCCTCTCGCAAGCCTTGCAAACCGAAGCACAAGCTCGGCCAGCCCCATATGATCTCGGCCCAGCTCGTAGGGCGTGCAGATGACCTCGAGGCGCTAGCCCGCCATGCAAAGCTCAGGATAGGTGAGCTTTCGGCAAAAATAGCAGGGTTTCTTTGGGATCCATGGGCCATAAAACCAATCTAAAAGAGCGGAACCCATCTGTTTCTAACCAAATCATAACCCAACACGGACACCTATGATCCGCCCCTTGCTCCCTTCTAGAGGCGAACATCGCTCGGTCCACCTGCGTGATGCCCCGGTTGACGTGGGGTTTGGGAGCAAAAAAAAACAAGTTTCAGCAGCTCAGGGGGGGTTTCAACCTCTAAACCACAATAAGCAAAAATGTAAAACAACATGTTTCCCAACCACAACCACGATGCCCCACCGTTTCTGGCCACCGATTCCCGAGGCTTCGGCCGCCATGCCCGTCTTGTCCACGAAGGGCTGCAGCAGGGAGCTGTAGCACAGCTCCGGGAACTGGCCGAGAACCGCGCCTCCTCGCCCAATTTTTTCCGCCAAGCGCGGAACGCCCGCAGATGTTGGGGCCAAATTTGGGCCCTGGTGGTGTTTCCTACCGGTGCCAAAGATGTTTTTTTTTTCCCACAAGGGAAACATGAATCGAAGAAATGTCTCGAAGTCTCCCTCCTCTTAAAAACGTCAACGTACTGGTACCAGAGGAAAGCCAAAAGGGAAATAGAGTTGGATGAACACCCGAAAGGGAAATAGAGTTGGACCCCATCCACCACGTGATCTCTTTGATGGGCCGAGGTGTGTTCCTCCCTCGCATTCTGCGCTTTGGGATGCACATCACGCAGATTCGGCCTCAGGTGTACATTTCGCAACAGAATCACCCAGCCACAAGGAACGGCCTTGAAGTCTGAAATTGGTAAGGTAAATCACACAACTCGAAGCATCAAACATGCTGGAGCCGCAGCTTGTACCAGGTCTCACCCCACAACAAAGCGCGAGTGGTCGGACACATGACCTACAGGGGCATGATTGAAGTGAATGCACACATTACCTCACCTCAAAAACTAAATCCTGTGGGTGGTTGTTCAAGTTTTTCTTGGGGCTCCTAAAAGGGCCTTCCCTTCCAAACAGGCCCAAACAGCCTCGGCGGCCTCACGAGGGTCAAAAAAAGGTGCGGCATGCGAGGTTGGAGCTCACGAACGACGCCTGAGCCATGGAGTTTGTGGATGGGAATCTCTCCTATGAAGTGTGTCACGCCCCAGGGGATGGAGTTCTCCGGCATGAGCACTTTGGCCTCCCCGAGATCCTGGCAGGGGATCAATCCGATGGGCGATACAGACTCTGAGCCTGTGACACTGGCCGAGGATGCACATAGCAACGCGGCTTGGCTGAAACTGCTGATTAATTCCATGCACAGCCCACATCTCGACATACTTGACAAGCATTTCGAACGAGACAAACTGCCCACATCCTTTCCACACTCACTGCGTCGAATCGAACTGAGGCTCCTGCAGGAACAAATGAACAGGGGACTAACATGAGTCACCCATTGTTATTCAGTGTGTGAAATCGAGCTGGACCTTCAAGCCAAACGCAAAACCAGCCCCCTAATGGCCTTGTCTTCATCCCCTTCCAACCAATACTGGGTTTGTCTTAAAATAGTGGCTTCCACCCTCAAAATGGGTTTGGTGTCCATGTTGTTTCCCTAGCCACCCCACAAAAACATCCACAAACCAGCCCCTCGATCCACCACCAACCCTAAACCCCCTGAAAACCAAGCCAAAACCACTAAATCCACCCTAAACCCGGACCTATACCAACCCCAATAAACAAACTCTACCCCAAACCCTCCAGCACCCCTCCCCCACCCCAAAACCGCCCCGAACGCGTCACCCGCGCATCACCGGCACGCGCGCCGCTCAAAGTCACGCGCCTGCCAGCGCTGCGCCGCCCGCTGGGCGGGGCTGGTCTTCGCGAGCTCCTGCAGCTTAGACCGCAGCACCAGCGCCAGGCCATCCTGCGACGTGACTCGGACGGGGGACGTGGGGACGTGGGGACGTGGGGACGTGGGGACGTGGGGAGGGGCTGGTCTCAACTTGGCTGTATACATAATACCATGTATACATATACATAATACCGTATGTTCTTCTGTATATCTATATACACATAATGTAGATATATATACATATATAGAGATCAATGAAACTATGTGTGATCTTCAAGTCCATGAGGCTCGGTGCTTGGAAGCCCGGGCACCTTGCGCCTGGAAGCCCGGGCCTCGGCGCCCGCCCGCCGCTGCACCTGAATCTCCGGCTCTCAGTGCATGTGCCCAGCTCCCTTGTGGGTTTGTCTCAAACTAGGGGAACCCCCCCCCCCCCCAAAAAAAAAAAAAACAAAAAAAAGACTTCTTCGTTTTTTACATGGTTCCCTTTGAACACCAAACCAACCAGGGGCACTGGTTGTTTCCTGATGTTGGCGACCTCACTCGGACAGCTGCTGCAGAAAAAATGGGAGCCCTCCACTCAGGGCTGCTCCATTTTAGGGAATAATCAAATGGGTATGTCGTTTGAGGGTACCACGGGTATCCCTTTTTGTTGTACTGGTTTAAACGGGAAGCTCGGAGGACAATTATGAACTCCAATTTGGGGGTTCAATTCCCACAAAAGGCACACCCAAATGCTTCCGCTTCAACTTGCGTCTTCAGCTTCCCTCCAATCCGTGGTATGGATTCGTGGTTTGGTCGTCAAGAAAGCGTTTCCATTTACTCTCTACAAAGGCCAGAGGTACACATCCCCAAATCGCCAATCCAAGCCACCAACTCAGGTTTACCTAATGTCCGGCGGTCCCAGCCTTTCGCCGCAGATGCGTCACACACGCCGCAGAGGTGGCGGCAGCAGCGGTGTACAGCCTCTCCGGATTGCAAACGACCCCCCCGCTACTTCGGATGTCTTGAGACCAACCGAAGGAAAACAATTAATCACTTTTATGGGGGGAAAAAAGTCATGGACCAAACAGAGGTCAAGTGTACTAGCCCTGCTAATTCGGATGTTTTGAGACCAACTGAAGGAAAAACAGTTAACCAGCTTTCTGGAGGGAAAAAAGTGATGGACCAATCAGAGGTCAAGTACACGAGTCACTCGTGATTTCAAGCCAATAACAAGTCAAGTACCCCAGTGTGACTAAGCTTGACCATTTTTTTTCTTGGGGGGGTGGGGAGAGTTCCAACTCGCCGACCCTCAGACCCTCGGACCCTCAGACCCCGGCCTCTGCGGCTCCCGCCGGGAGCCGATGCGACTGCGACTGGGTGCCGAGGGCGGCGACCAGGCGCCGGCCATTGGCGCCACGAAGGCGGGGGAAAGCGCCATGGCGCACGGTGCGGAGGCGCCTCCTTTAGCTGGGCTTGCTCCAAAGGCACGGGTGTTTTGGGACTTGGCTCCCCCCCTTTTGGTTGGCTTTGCTGGGCCAAATCAGCGGAAAACAAAAAACAAGACTGGGCTCTTCAGGGCATTTCTCAAGGCTGATGGATTCGGAGTCTGGAGATTCCTTGTAAAAGATAACACTAGGTTCAGTGAGTGGCACTTGGAATCCTCACATGCGGCAAAGTGTTTTTTCCCCCCCCCCCCCAGGCAGGGTCAAGTATCATGCGACGGATGCAAGTGGAGTCGGGAAAGCAGACTGCAGGAAAGAAGCGAGCCACTATGCTTTCAGAACGGGCGTCGCAATTTGTCGTGTTGCTGGCGCTACAAGTTCAGACGCTTGCTATGGCAAAATGAACTCGAAGTTTCCTCCGCTCCAAGTTCATGGTCTGTGCTGTACCCATAGTAGTCCTTCGCTCATGGAATCACAGAAAATATCAAGCAAATGCCCCAGGTGTTCCGTTGGCTGCCTTGAAATGTTTTTTTCATAAGAGAAACCGAATGCTCGACGGCTCCGGGCCACTTTGCTGCCCTGCAAAAGTTGGAATCTGGCTATGTCCCCTGGCTACGGCCACCGGGCCAAGATTAAGCACGAGCCAGGAATCGTTTTGCCCCCCCAAAAAAATTGAGACGAACCCATGCCTGTCATGAAGCTCTCCCTTGGCCATCTACCGAGCCTGATCTTGCAGCAGCGCCACTGCTTTGCCCAAGGCGCGGACCTGAGCTTTCGAGCCAAGCCGACCCTGATTCTGAGACAAAAGCCCCCCCCATCGGGGATCCTTACATGAAAAACACCTGAACATTGCAACTTGTAAATGGCGGTTTCCCTTTAGTTTGGTGGAAAAAGCCATGTTTCAATTGGGCAAAATGGAGATATTTTCAGGAGCCCTGCCCATTTCACCGGGCAAGCCTTTGAGGAGTTTGCTTTTGGGGCGTTGGGATCGTATATGTGGCACAAAAAGTGAAACCAAGGCCAACGCCCAATCCTGTGGTCCAAAACAAGGGCCGCCCCAAAATTGCAACGAGTTCCTTTGGGAATCTTTTTGAGAGCCCCTTCACGGCGTCTCCTTGATGGCCAGGATCCGATTCACGGAAACGAATCCCAAGTTGACCAGATCGACCAAACGAACCGGCCATTTCCACGAGTCAACTTCCGGGACCCGTTCGCTAAGCATCGCTAAACATCGCTACCTTCTGAGGCGAAGCGATCCTCAGAACTCCAAACATCACTCATATGGCTGCGGCTCCAAATTAAAGAGATCGGGGTGCGTAGGTCTTAGTCTTTATTTCCATACACCAAGGTGCCATTTTGGGAAGTCCACTTTTTTTGAGCCAAACTACTGTTGCTTGCTGCTCCCCTGCTAAAAAAAGAAACTTTTAGTGGTTTGATTAATGGAAAACCCATTCGTTGGCAAAAAGTTGAAGTCCTAACATCCAAGCAAAATGCAACAAAGAATACCGTATAAGAACTCTATTTCGGAAGTGCGGCGCAAAGCCGGGTGCCCGCGCGTCCTGGCGCAGCTCCATAATCGCCGTCCGCCGCTCCTGCGCTTCCGGCCGTGTTCCAACGTTGGACTTTTCAGGCTGACGGGACTCGTCTTTCGTGTGCCAAAGCCAGGAGACGCGTGTTCAGTCCCGGGAAATGGTATGGACGATGTGAGTTTCAGAACGACTGAGATGCAACTCTGCGCGGTTGAACCGGAATCCTAACCCAGCCGTATCTAAAAGCAACCAAAACAGCAATGGCTTCCTTCTGGTTTACCTTAAAACCAGCCCAACAAAAGCACGAGCTACCACAATAAAACAGTGGGAACCAGAAAGGGCTACCTCAACACCTCAAAAAACGAGAACCGCAAAAAATGTTCACCAAAACAAAAAACGAAACCACAAAAAAGAAAACAAGCGACCACAAAAAAAGGAAAACACAAAAACAAACGAGTGACCACACAAAAAATAAGAAACACAAAAACAAACGAGCGACCACAAAAACAATAAATAACAAAAAAAACGAGCGACCACAAAAAGGAAGAAGAAAACACAAAAAAAAAAACGAGCGACCACAAAAAGGAAGAAGAAAACACAAAAAAAACGAGCGACCACAAAAAAAAAAGAAGAACAAAAAAGAAACGAGCGACCACAAAAAGGAAGAAGAAGAAAAAAACAAAAAAACGAGCGACCACACAAAAAAAGAAGAACAACAACAAACAAACGAGCGACCACAAAAAATAAGGGAAAAAAACACGAGCGACCACAAAAAAGGAAGAACAACAAAAAACAATCGAGCGACCACAACAAAAATAAGAAGAACAAAAACAAAACAATCGAGCGACCACAAAAAAGAAGAACAACAAAAAACAATCGAGCGACCACAAACAAAATAATAAAAACAAAAAACAACGAGCGACCATAAAAAAAGAAGAACAACAAAAAAAATCGAGCGACCACAAAAAACAGAAAAACACAAAAAACAAACGAGCGACCACAAAAAAAGAAGAACAACAAAAAACAATCGAGCGACCACAAAAAAAAACGAAACACAAAACAATCGAGCGACCCCAAAAAGAAGAACAACAAAAAACAATCGAGCGACCACAAAAAAAAAAAAAACAATCGAGCGACCACAAAAAAAGAAGAACAACAAAAAACAATCGAGCGACCACAACAAAAATAAGAAAAACACAAAACAATCGAGCGACCACCAAAAAAGAAGAACAACAAAAAACAATCGAGCGACCACAAAAAAGAAGAGAAACACAAAACAATCGAGCGACCACAAAAAAAGAAGAACAACAAAAAACAATCGAGCGACCACAAAAGAAATAAGAAAAAACACAAAACAATCGAGCGACCACAAAAACAGAAGAGCAACAAAAAACAATCGAGCGACCACAAAAAAACAAGAAGACAAAAAAACAAACGAGCGACCACAAAAGAAACAAGAAGACAAACAAAAAACAAACGAGCGACCACAAAAAAACAAGAAGACAAACAAAAAGCAAACGAGCGACCACAAAAAAGCAAGAAGACAAACAAAAAACAAACGAGCGACCACAAAAAAACAAGAAGACAAACATGATCAGCCCCATTCCTTGGTTCCAACCCCAACCCTCGGCCTCTTCCAGCTCCATGAGCTCACCCAGGCGCTGCCTATGGGACTTGAGGCGAACGGAACGGCCGTTCGAGTCTTTGGTGGACAGATTTCTTCGAGAAAATTGCAAATTGTGTTTGTGCGTACATAATATATACATACCTTTGTATATTTATACAAATACATATATATATATACATATGTATATATATATACATTGATATGTATATATAGTGGTCGACATAGTTCTTTATAAGCTGGTGGACATGTTTTTGGTGGACATGTTCATGGTGGACCACTTAAATCCCCGAATCTTGACGTGCAACTCAGGGTGTTGTTGATATATGTTTGAACCACGCTGGCCCCGAAAACCGCCCGCTGGAGATGTTGGATGGAAACAACTTGTAAGCAGTCTTCGATGAAGTGGCAGGCCAGAAGTGTTGGGAGCAAACGTCCAGTTGCGCTTGTCTTGCGATCATGATGGCACATGCTTGACATGCACTTGCGTGAAAGCGAGTGCATCTTACGTCATGAACAAAATCTCGGATGTGCTCCAACCAAGTTGCCACTTGCTTGGGCCAAACAAGGGGAACCCACCTGGTGTTGGCGAATGCCCAAATTCTCACCTAAGCCAAAACAATACATTCAACAAGAACCCCAGGGGCCTTTGGGGAAGGGAAATCACCGCAGCTGATGTCTAAGACCACCCCCAAACATTCCCAAGCCGACCCCCAAGGATCTTCATCACTGGTAAGCTCGTCTTTCCCCCAGAGCTCGGCATTCGTGCAGATGGAACACGGGTTTCTCGAAATGGTGGACCCTTTATTCGTTAAAATGGGTCCACCAACAGGAAACGAGCCGTTTTCCGGGACCACTACTTTGAGAACCCCACGCGCCCCATATACGTAGGTGTGTTTCCCATATGGGTGTGTCTTGTTCTAGCAACAAGTTGTGGTTCTCCTTCAAGCCAATTCCAAACAAAGGGTTCCCCTCAACAAAATTGCCAGACCCATATTGAAAAAAGAATCATGTCGGCCCCCTTCTCGCGGGCCAAAACACGGCTCGGTTTAAGTTCAAGTTCCAGCAGCTCTGCTCGCCGCTGCCGCACAAGCAGCGAACGCCATTCGTCCTGGACAGTCACTCGCACTCGGTCGCCCACGCGAAAAGGAAGCGCTGTAAATATCGGTCCTCCTGGCGCCGTCTCTGCGACACCTGCGCGAGTTTGCCCCTGGCCCAGGACCCAGGGTGGCTCCCTTTGACTTTCTGCAGCTTTTCTTGTGCCCATGGCTCACGTCCCTCTGATGCAGCGTTGCCCTGGAAAGCGTGGCTGAAACATGGCCCTGGGTCAAACCCCCGTACCCCCAGTGAACATCCACCAATCCCACTAAAATAGGCTCTAAAATGGGTGGTGAATTCACCTACCAACCAAAATGGGGATCCCATTGGTCTTGAACCACAGCTCAACACGTGCAGCTTCGGTTTTATCGCGCCTCGTGGTCGCTGACTGGCGCCAAGCCGGCCGGCAAGTCCTGTGGCAAAAACCAACACCAGCCGCAGCTAGAAGCTGCCACTGTTGCTACTCCTGCGCTCCAACTCATAACTCAAATAGGGCAGCCCCAACACAGGGATGTTGAAGCTCTTCTGGGTCCTCCAGATTTGAGAGGTTAGAATAAGGGTACCAACTTTTTTCTGTAGTCAAATGAACTCAATACTTTGGCTGAATCGCCTGCATCTCTCATGCGACATGGAAACTGAGCGTGGCACTTGGAACTTCCTGGCATGGGCATATTTGACTGTGTGCGTGTTTTTTCGGAAACTCCTTGTTGGTCTTTTTCTCAGGGTCCCAGGAGGGTGTGGCTGTTTGCTGTTGGAATCAGTTTGGTTGGTTTTTGATGGGAAACTAAAAGCAGACTCTTGCCCATTTTGGGGGCTCTCCCACAAGACAAACTCAGGAGTGCAGATCAGGGAGCCCGCCATCCGGGGAAGTTTGGAGCCTCTCGGAAAGCTGGTTTGAGTTTGGCACAACCTGAAGCTGCTGGCTTTCTCATTTGGGGCTTTCAGGTTGGCAGTGCCCCGGCAAAGAAGAAGCTGGCACGCCCTTCCACAATTATTCGCCGGAGCCGCGCAGGAGCAGGTCGCCTGGCGGGCCAATTTCTCGGCAGCGAGGGCTCATGTTTCTGGGTCGAATTCAGAGACTCCGAGAGATCCAATTCATCACACATGGAGTCTGCCGGAAATGGGCCATTGCTCACAAAATCATGATCTCCCCCTTTCGACAGAGAATGTCTAAAGTCAAAGAACATGGCAAAGGGCCACCCAGGAAGCTCGTCGTCCTCCCAGCTGACATGACCCCATGCTCACTTTGGTGTCTAAAGGCTAGAATGGGCCAAGTTCCCATTGAGCTCGTACATCTCCATGTGACATGACCCAACAAGACTGGGGCATGTTTCTCTTCATGGCTGATGGAACTAGTCTTTGCACCAAGGGGGGTCACAGTCCCAAACTAAAACTTACCCCACATGGTATTTATTCCCTTACAAATGAACATGGAACCCCAAACATGACCTCCATTTCCCAAAAAAAGAATGTCCCTTCCGAAGAATGGGTGGGCTTGGGGGTTTCTTCCGAATACCATAAACCAAGCTGGGTCTTACCTTTGGCCATTGGCCCAGCCAAATCAACCCGCGCCTGGAGAGCTGTCGCGAGATGCCTGGATGTCGCTTGTCTGCATGCAATACGTATATGTATATACACCGCACATGCATATTGTAACATTGTGTATCTATATTTATATTCATACTGGGGGGGCTGCCATATATATATATATATATGCTTATACATATATGTATATATATATACATATATATGTGTATGATGTGCGTTGTGTGCCGAAATTATGGCGAGCTCGCCCTGGAGTAAAAGGAGCTTAGGCCCCGTGACGAAGGCACCTTTTTCTGCAACCCTTTAATTGGGCTCAACGCATACCGGTTGGTGCAACTTGACTCATTACATTTATATTATAGTATACGTATAATATACACGCACACGTACGTATGTTTACATCGCAAGGCTCCAATCGCATGTCTCCATTCCACATCAGCAACAAGCAATGCTGGAAAGAAGTAGCAATGTGGCTGGCTGAGCTCAAACCTGTCCCCAAACAAAAACAAAACAACACGCGCCCACTATGAAAATCTTCCCCCCCAAGAAAAAGCAGAGAACCAAATAAACAATGTGCGCTTAAAGACCCGCCGCCAAAAAAGAGGAAAACAAAAACAACAACTACTACTATACAACTACAACTACAACTACAACTACAACTACAACAACTACTACTACTACTACTACTACTACTACTACTACTACTACTACTACTACTACTACTACTACACAATGTGTACTTCTGAAAGAACCCCCCCTCCCCCCCCAAGAAAAAAAACGACTCCACATCTGTACGTTAAAGAACCCTTTCCCAGCAATAAGAACAAAGAAGAACCTACCTGGCACTTGAAAGACCCTACTACGGGGGGCTGGCCGCCTGGCACCAGCGCCACCGGTTCCAAGTCCGAGCCTGAGAGTCGTGCGTCGTTCAGGCCCAGATGCTCGGGTGTCGCTTGAGACCTGAAAACCCCATGTGTTTGGGGCAACAACTCATTTGTTGAAGGGAATTTGGAGTGTCCAGGCGGTGTTTGGGCAAAAAAGGCTCCGGTTTTCCTTGTGGTTCCCAAAACCGGCCCCATTCGGGAACATGCGTTTCTCTTAAGATAGGAATCTTATGTGTGCTTTGAGGGTTTGTTCAGAGCGATTGTTCGAACGCCGAAAATGCTGAGCTCGGGGGGCGGGGGGGGTTGTGAGCAATGGCTTGGGCAGCCTGGGGTAAGGGCTACAACCTGAGTGGCCTGTGGGTCTTCCATTTCCGAAGGGAAACTCAAGGAGCGCCGAAATATCCACTCAACTTCGCAACTTGCAAACAAAACACAGGCTGAACCACGCGGGGTTAAGCTTTGGGGACCCCGAGACTGAGGAGGCATTCACAGAAAAAACCTTCTGGATGCAGCACTGCGGGATGGCCTGAATGGTTCCAAAGCATTCATATGGTACATGAGGGACATCACAGGGGTGCGTGTCTCTTTAGGTTAAACCCCCCAAGATGGCTTAACTCGTTTTTCCTCTTGGCTTCACTTAAAAACCATAAACCAGTACCAACTCCAAACCCCTGCCGAGGGGCGAGACCTCTCCTGGAAGCTCATGGCTGATGCCAGTGGCACGTGTCGTGTCTTCCGATTGATCTGGTGACGGGTTGCAACTCTTTCGTTCCATGGAGTCGCTCGAAGTTCTGGATTCGCGGATTTGCTGAAGTGATTGCACATCGAATCCGCTCATGCACTACGGCACTGTGTGGATTCAGTGTGCGTGCAGCCGGCACTGCCGAATTCTCTGATGGCTTCGCAGGGCACAATTAGAGCAAGGCAATGCAGAAGTCCATGCGTCATCTCCCTCTCTCTCTCGCTGTGCCATGAAACTCTGGTGGCATGGGCATTTTCCAAAAGCAAGCGAGCGAATTGGCGGGTCAGCGCGGGGTTGCCGTGCGGCGCTAAGGCGGGGGTTTCCCCAAGGGGATGTACCGAGGGACCACTATACAAGTCCCGGCAAAAGGAAGACTGGCTGGCGAGTCGAATCGCCAGGGCGCATGGCGCTAATCGAATTCCGGCGGCGTCCATGTCGGGCCCCTGACTGATACAGGCATGGCAACTCAGAAGCTGCGCTTGGGCGGTTTCCCAAATGTTCAGGGGCGAATATGGAGAATAACAGCAGGACCCCCCCAAAGGACCCCTCTACTTCACTTTCTTTCCTTTCACTTGCGCTCGTTCTCCTCCCTCCCTCCCTCCCTCCCTCCCTCCCTCCCTTCCTCCCTCTCCGCCTTCAGGAGCACACGAGGGCACCTCCTGGCTATTCCGATCAGTTCCCCTCACACGGGCGCCTTGTGCTCAGGGTTCCCTTGTGCAAGCTTTTGGATTAAAATCGATGGGTTCCCCGGGATTCATGGGCCTAACACCACTCTAAACCAGCGGATTCCACCGATTTCTGACCAGACTGACTGATCAAAAGCCTATGCCCACTTTGGTGGTTCTCCCATTTGAGCGCTCTAAAGGTCCTGTGCAAATCAAGTAATAGATTGCACCGAGATGCAATCTAACTTACGAGAGTACAGGGATAGACCCTTGGCAACACACTGCCGCGCGGCCTTTCGCTGCCACATTTGTTTTCCGCCCGGTTGGGGAGGGGAGGCCTTATCGCCGCAAGCGCATTGGTTTTGAACGTTGCTCATTTCAAAAAAGCTGCGGAAAACGCGGTAAGTGACACAAGGACATGTGTAAAGTGACACGGTAAACCTTGTTGTCATCTCACACACACATCTATCTGCTCTGCACAAGTTGCTGTTGTCAATTGGCCCAAACACCTTGGATTGAATGTAAGGGCCATTGTGTGCATGGAGAACTTCTATCCAATCCGCGTGGCGCATCACTCACAACTGGTGGACAAACAATGTTGGTGCTACCGACACATATATAAAAAACAATAGTAATAGTAATAATCCGCCGACCCTCTGCCTCCCAGTCTTGGGACCAGTCCTGGGACCGGTCCTGGGCCCCACCGGTCCCAGGACCAGTCCACCGGTCTTGGGACCGGTCCTGGGACCAGTCCTGGGACCGGTCCTGGGACCGGTCCTGGGACCGGTCCTGGGACTGGTCCCGGGACTGGTCCCGGCCAGGACCGCTTTCAGGACTGGTCCGGTCCCAGCCGCTGGTATCGGATCCCACTTCAAACCGCTGCAGAAACCCGGTGCCACCTCAAACAGCTCCAGACACCTGTTTTTTCAGTGTCGCTGTTTCCGGACTGGCACCCGTGTTTCAGGACCGGACAGGGTCCCAAGTCCCAGTCCCTCCCTGCGACCGGTTGAGGGGCACCGACGGCCTTGTTTCTAGCACCAGCTCAACGTGACTTGGGCGCGAGCCGGCCCGTGCGGTCATTGACGGACGAGCTGCCGCCTGTCTGACTTTTCCGCTAATCCTTGTGGTAGTAGAGGATCCCTGGATCTACTGCCGGCGACCGGTCCAGGGCCACTAGGGCCACTGTCGCCGGGGCAGTTTCGGGAGGGCCAGTTTCCGGGCGACCCGGGACAGGCGACTGCTCCCGGGCCAACTCGAAGTGACTTGGGCGCAAGCCGGCCCAAGCGGCAATTAACGGACTAGCTGCCATATTTCTGACTTTTCCGTTAATCCTTGTTTGTGGTCGTAGAAAATCTTATAAGTGGTCCCTGGGTTTGCGGACGTGTTTCAGGACCGGTCCTTGTGACTTTTCCCTTAATGCGCCGAGGGTCGGCGGCAGCAGGCGGGAGCCTGGCTATTATAATGATAATAATAATAACAATAATAATAATAATAATAATAATAATAATAATAATAACAATAACAATAACAATAATAACCAATAATAATAATAATAATAATAATAATAATAATAATAATAATAATAATAATAATAATAATAACAATAATAACAACTAATAATAATGATAATGATAATAATAATAATAATGATAATGATAATAATAATAATAATAATAATATTAATAAAAATTATTATTATTACTATAAATAATAATAATACAATAATAATAATAATAATAACAATACCAATAACGCTACTAATAACAATAAATATTAGTAATAATAATAATATTAGTAATACTACTACTACTAATAATAATAATAATAAATAATAATAATAATAATAATAATAATAAAAATAAAAATAATAATAACAATAACAATAACACTAATAATAATAATAATAATAATAATAATAATAATAACAATAACAATAACACTAATAGTAATAATAAATGATAATACCAATAACAATAACACTATATATATATATATACACTTGCTATATTATAAATATATAGTATGAATATGTGTGTCTATATGTATGTATACACATCCCTATTAATAACAATCTCAAGGTTACATCGGCTAGAACTCCCAATGGCCAATTTGCAAAATCGGACCGACATTCAGAGTCACGAGGTGCCATGACTCATACGATAAACAGCCACCGCTCGGGGCAGCCCCCTCTCTTCCTTTTTGTGGACTGGGCCTGTTCAAATGACATCGTGATTTCAGGAGCTTTTGGGGAAACTGAAACAACCCCCAAACACAATCTGGCGAATTGGTATGGTCCTGCGGATGATTCCGAAGTTGGCATTACGGGTTCCGTGTCTGGGGGGGAGAGGGGGGACTTGCTTTGGGGGAAGGAAGTTGCCTGAAGGTAGCTACCTTAGGTATGGTACGTATCTGACATGCGATCCCTCACGGTTGGCTGTTGTTTGAAGATTTCACCGCGCGAGTGGGAGTTATCATTCAAACCAGCTGCAGGAGATTCTACAGAAAGTTAGCCAAACATGCACGCGGGGCGGTCCTGAAAAACTGCTGCTGAGCGCAGGCCGCGCTTAGGAGCAGGGAGGTTTGCAGGAATGGCCCACTGGACTCGTGCCTTACTTGCGATTCGAAAGTGGATTGGGAATCCAGCAGCAAACAGGAACAACCAAATAAATGGGAACAACCAATTAAAGCTAATGAGTAAACAAAAAACAATTTAGAAACCAGCTTATAATTTGGAACAACTGGATGAAATCTACTGGCAGCTCGGGTGCGATAGAGGTAGCCTTGGAAGTCCTCAAAGCTCGAGTCCGGAGTAAGGCCCCGGTACCATTCCTGAGGCGAGAGAACCCTTCAGCCTAGGCGACTCAGCTATTGACGGCATCTGCTGGCGCCTGCTTTGTTTTCGGCAAAATGTGTTGTCCAAAGGACATCAAATCACGGGCTTTGTGCAGCCTCTGACAAACTAAGCCAAAACAGAGACCTATGCTGGGTCCAATCAAGTCGCCGGATGCCGTTTGATGCCTTCTCGCATGGCCCAGATCACGTCCCTGTAGCAAGCATCGCCCTTCTTGGCGTCTTCGCACTCCTTACTCCATGCAGCTTGCACCTCCTCTCATGGGGCTTGGGAGGGGGGGGAGGATGGGGAGGTCTTATTAAGCAGTTACTAACGCCTTATTTGGGGCTTTGGGGGCTTCTTTGGCCTCCCCGCCTGCCTCCCCCCAGACTCGTCTCTCTTTTGGCCTGCGACACATAAAATCAACCCACATAAATCAACCAAGGCTCTGCGACATAGTAGCCCTTGTCCTCTGCAGAATCTTCAATCAAGCTCTTCTTTCCCTCCCCTGGAACAAATGCGGGGTTGCCTGAAAAAAATAGCGGAACCCCACAAAAATTGGCTCTTGTTCCTTTTGATTTCCCTTTTTAACACCGTCAACAAGGAGGGTGCCCTGCAAAAAAGACGAACCCATGTCAACTCGATGTCGCGTCTCGAGCTTTGGAAGTCGCGAGGGCGTCCTCATAGAACTTCCGCATGTTGAAGTCGCACTCGGGCTCATGGAGCTCGTACTGGACCCGAATTCAGAAACGAGACGATGTGGAATATCCCAATATCCCACACACTCCATGTTGGTCATATTGCTAACCTTCGAATGTAGGCCTCTTAGAGCAACGTTCGGTATGTAGGCATATTTTGGCAGCATTGGGCTTATCGGAATCTATGACTTTGTCGGATGCCGTGATTGGGCGTGACTTGGCGTGAGTTGGCGTGATTGTCGGACTGAACGTATGCTATTTTTGGCATACATGTGGGTCAAGTGTATGGCAAATTTGGGGTATGTGATTTGGCGTGATTTAATCGCAGGAGAATTGTCGAACATGCATTTAATTGTCGAATCAACATTTTGGATGTATGCCTAACCCCAATGTTCCTTCCCAGGCCAACGTTCGCGAATGTTGGCAAATAGCACCCACATTGGAGTGTCAGGGTAGGGCGTATCTTTTGCTAAGGGAACCAGCTTGTTTGGAGGTTTGAAAGGGAAGAGTGGAAACCATCGATTTTGGGGGGTCTGATTCCTCAACAAGTTGACCCACGCCCATGTTTGTTTGACTTGCAACAGGTCCTTTCTGTCCGACTTGCAAAGCCGAACCACCTCATATGAGTCTGTCTTTTTTGGGAGGGAGCCCCTTGGTTTTGCAGCACCAAAAGGACGCCGGACATCCGATTCCCAAGAGCCACCCGTCCCGGGCGACACCGCCGAAACCGAAGCCAACTCAACGTGCGGCCTCCGGGGTGGAATTGGGATACTTCTTGGCGAAGAGCTCCTGCGCCCCAGGGCCCCAACTGCCATTTGGGTGTGGCTCAGAATCAAACGCTTACGCATGCGCAGGTCAAAATCAAATGGGTGGGGTCAAAATTCAACTCACCAGGAAATGGGCCGCAGGTTCTGGTCCATGTTTCCACTTACCGAACGGGCAAGCCATTTTCCGGGTTCCCCGACTTTTTTGAATTCGCAGCCATTTGGACAAGCGGGATGTTGGCCATGAGACAAACACAGCGGGATGTTGGCCAGCGGGCAACCGCTGCTTGGGTTTCCGGGACGGTCCAACGGGAGTTTGGACAGGGGAAAAAAGCACTTGGAGGGTGCTGGAAGGTGCCTTGGTGTGACTTGCAACCTCAGACCCACGCCAAATCCGACTCTGAAGAGACCTTGTTACAAGTCTACAGAAGACATGTCATATCTTCTGCGCATGCACACCGAGTGAGCTGAATTCCACTAAAGCAGCACAGCAAAGCAACAACGGCACCCAAACCGCTCTCGGATCTCGACTGCTCGGGTTCGTTCGGTTTCTGCCCGTCACCCGCGCCTGCGCCAACATCAGGCGCCACTCGTTTGCCAGGACATCCTCGCACGGGCCGGCTTCGCCCGGCTAAGCAAAAACTTCATCCAGGACCCGGGCCCCTGCCAAACCAAACTTCGCCGTCTGTCCAAAAAGGTCCAAAATCCCAACTGTCCAAAAAGCAGTGGTTGGGGGGGTGCTGGAGAGCTTCTTAAAGTCTGATTCGGTCCGGATGCCAAGTGACAAATTGTGACAGCAGCGCGAACCCCCCCAATTGGATTGAAGTCTGACTCTTGGTTCCAAGGTATCCCAGACCAAAAACACACTCGGCTTCACTTCGAGCGATTGAATCGCTGGTGGAACCGTGTGTTTGCTGTCGTTTTTCAAGGCACACCAAAAAGAAAACCCCTTGCGCCATTTTGCGGGGTCCAAATGCAAACAATAACCACACCCATGGGCTCAGTTTCGCCAGAACCGACTTCTCCCGCCTTCTTTGAATCCCACCAGGTCCATCCAAAGCCTCGATCCGGACCTGCCGTTCGGGATGGCCTGAACCCTGAGTAGGCTTTAAAATAGGGGTAGCCAAACCATGTTCTTCGGCTTCCTTGTAGTTTTCCTTAAAAACTACTCCAACGGGGTACCCAGCTTAATAGGGAACACATGAATCCCCCACTTTTCTCCAACAAAGACACACCCATGCTTTTTGCAAATCCGTGTTGTTTGCCTCTTTCGGCTTCTTTGCCAAGTGTCGGCAGTTTTTGCCGCTGCACTATGCTGGTTTGCCGATGTTGGAGGAATCCTTGGCTTGGTTTCTCATGCCTTTGACTTTGTCACAATGCAGGCAATTCATCAGCTGAGAGCCAACCGGGTGGAAACCCCTCACTTTGACCGTCGCAATCGGACCCGGTGAAAAGGCCCAGCTGAAGGCGAGACGCGCGAGTCAAGCGTTCGAGAGAAAAAAACACCAAGGAAGCGGCCGGAAGGAGTAGTTGGGTCTGTCTTGAGTTGGTACACCTCCTAAAACAAACACACACACACACACCCATTTCTTTTAACCATATGAGGGACTCCCGAAACTTAGAAGAGATCTTGAAGTTATCGGTTTTGCGGGGGTCCACAGCTCTCTAGGTTTTAAAGGGACACCAAAAGGGAAACCCTTGCCCCAGTTTGTGGGTAATTTGCTTCAACCATATTTTGTCCACAGCTTTCAAATTAAAAACTTTAAAACACGCAGAGCTGGCCTCGCATGTACTCTTTTCTGCCGGAAGCCATGAAGGCCGAGTAGTTCCGGATGCCCGTGAGCTCATCCTCAGATGGATCTTGAAAAACCGGCGTCTTCGTCGGACAAAACGCGCAACTGGATTAAAAAACATGTAACCTGCTTTGAACAAGGTTATACACTAGTCTTGGGCATTGGATGCCTTGAACCATAACCCCCTTCCCAATTCCATTTTTCAGGGGTCGTCGATTGTTTTCTGGCTGAGGGGCGATGGTGATCTCCCCCGCATCCTCATAGGTCCAGGTGCAATTCCCCTGGCCAGTGGGGGTCTCATCGCAATAGCCTCCAGGCTCCCGCTCCTTGCACCAGTCCTGAAACGACAGCCGGGCAGGAAGAGGCTGTGTGGTTGTGGTTGTGGTTGTGGTTGTGGTTGTGGTTGTGGTTGTGGTTGTTGCTGCTGCTGTCGTTGCTGCTGCTGCTGCTGCAGCTGCTGCTTTCGTTGCTGCTGCTGCTGCTGCTGCTTTCGTTGCTGCTGCTGCTGCTGCTGCTGCTGCTGCTGCTGCTGCTGTTGCTGCAGCTCTTGCTCTTGTTCCTCATCATCATCATCATCATCATCATCATCATTCTCATCATCATCATCATACTCATCATCTTCTTCTTCTTCTTTGTCTTGTTGCTGTTGTTGTTGCTGTTGCTGTTGCTGTTGCTGTTGCTGTTGCTGTTGCTGTTGCTGTTGTTGTTGTTGCTGTTGCTGTTGCTGTTGCTGTTGTTGTTGTTGTTGTTGTTGTTGTTGTTGTTGTTGTTGTTGTTGTTGTTGTTGTTGTTGTTGTTGTTGTTGTTGTTGTTGTTGTTGTTGTTGTTGTTGTTGTTGTTGTTGTTGTTGTTGTTGTTGTTGTTGTTGTTGTTGTTGTTGTTGTTGTTGCTGCCGCTGCTGTTGTTGTTGTTGTTGGCATGGGGTTACGCCGTCCAGCAGGCGCAGGCGCGTCATGATGTAAACACTCTTAGCAATATCCCATGCCTGCAACGCGGGCCCAAAATCGGAGTTCCAAATTTGGTCCACGAAGGCGTCTCTTTCACACGTTCCGCGTCACTTTTGATGTCGCACGCTTAGCATTTCCCCACGCCTGCCACGCGCGTTTTGCTCAAATGCACGCATGCCTGGCACGTAAAGCACGCCCGCCCACGCGCCTGTCGCTCAACTGCACGCATGCCTGGCACACGCCAAGCATATCCGCCCACGCGCACGTCGCCTGGCGCATGGAGAGCGGGCGGACATACAAACCCTTAGACAGAAATTTCAGTGCTGCTTGCAAAGGAATAAACGCCCACCAAAATGAAAGTTCACAAGCCCCCATTCTTCTTGGAAAGCTCTCCTTTTTCAGTACGTAAAATATCTTGAAGTACCGCTGAACACCGCGCTGATATCCTTTGATGGTGTTGAAACCTACTTTTTGTTTGGACCCCTTCAAAAATGCAATGGGAGAGAGGCCCGGTCGGCAAGGTCGTTCAGTCGGCGGCAGTCGGTGGCTGGCCAGTCAGGCGGCTCTGCCGGTTTCTTGTCGTGCGAAGGCACCCAAAGACAATGTGTTCCTGGCACCACACGCGTTGCGTTGTAATGCCAGAACCCCGCAAGCTCACCTGCCAATCAGGACGTCAACAGGTCGACTTGCCACGTGCGAAGCAAGCACGGCCTGCCATAGCGCCGCCCTTTTGCCTGCAGCAGGGGTCTGCTCCAGCCCACCAAGCGCCCCTGATGCAGAGACAGACTCAGAGGCTGCAACTACAAGCTCCAACCCCGGATGAGCAGCTACCATCCAACGCCAAGATCGCCCTCCCAGAAACCTGCCGGAGGTGCTGCACCAAGTGGTTGCACCCAGGCATGCTAGGCGCAGGCCAAGCTGTCGGGCAAGCGGGGTCAATTTTTCCAAAACCGTGCGCAGTGCATGGGCCAAGGCCTGTCTCTGCACTGAAAGGTAGGTAGGTGCGGCAGGGCGCCTCCACACGAGCAAGGCAACGAACACCGCTTGCGAGGCCCTGGCCGTGCTCCTGGGCAGCCCGCTGATGGAACGATAGGCTGGGCTCGAGGCTGTACTTGTTTGGTGTCCTTGCGCCACAGGCGTAATGTCCAAGCATGTGTAGTGGCCCTGCGCGACGACTCCAAGGATGACAAGGCCGCGAAACTGGCGGTCAGCTCTCCGACATTCCTTACACACGGCTGCGAAGAGCAAGGCAAATTCAGGGTGCGCATGCGCGGACGCCAGGCCCCCAAAAGAGAAATCTTGCACGGCTTTGCCTCCGCAGCGCCTCAATCAAGGACGCCCAGGCAGCAACGGCCGTTTTGCGGTACCGGTGCCATGGCCCTGTCTACGCAAAAAGACACAGCCGCTGTCTGACGAGAAGCCGTCAAACCCACGAGCTGCGTGCAACTGTTATTTTTTGGATCTTGCGGCACCGCTCCCGCACCTTATTTGTAAGACCCCCCTCCTCGACACACTGCTACTGCAGACCAAGAAGTTTGAACTTTACTGGTGGACAGTCCTTGTCTCGCTATGACACATCCACGCAGGGTGAACCAGCGTTGTTGGTGCTGGTAAAAGTGTCGGATGACCTCAAGCAAGTGCCATGCGCTTAGCGCCACGTCGACCCTGATGGAGTCGAAACATCGGCGCACGTCAGCCTTGCGCTGGGCGTTGCGCCACACCTTCCCCATTGGCCTGCGCGGGCTGCGTGCCCAGCAGTTGCTGCGCCCTCACTGTGCCCGCTGTCGGATGCTGTCAGCACTGCTGCTGTTGCGGTACTGCGTCCATTTCAGTGTGCCGGACACGTCTGGCTGAAATGCCGTGCGCGTTTGGCCAACTTGCGGCGCTGCGGGTAGGCGAGACGCGCCGTGTAGTCCGCTGGCCAGACGAGGGCTTTCGACACGGTGAAGTTCCGGCTCCGGGGCTGCCAGCTCGCAGACTTGCAGCGCTCAACCCCAGCGCTCGGATGGCAAAGCGCTGCGGCCCACGGTTCCCCGCTGCTTGTTGACGCAGCAGTTTGCCCAGCCATGGTGGCGCACTTGCGGCAGATGACTCTGCTCAGGCTGGCACGGTGCTTTGCCGACGCACAGCACGTCATGCTCCCCGGCGTCACCTTTCTTGATGCCCAGCAGCCGGCACGCGACCCCCGCAGCTCGGACCTGCTTCATGGCCGTGCCTTCGTTCACACTGCCCATGGGATGCACCAATCGGAGCTGCTGCTGATCAAGGTCTGGGTGCACTTCGCGCCCGTGCATGACACGCATGGCCCAGCTGCTCGCCGTATGATTGGGGGGGACGCCCAAACCACACACAGGGCACTTCCACGTGACTTCTTCCCCCACAAACACATCTCGGTTCAGAAGCTGAGTATGTGAGCCGGGGGCTTCGAAGAAAGCAATCGCTGGACCGTTAGACAAGCAAAATAAGCCGGGCGCGGCGCTTGGAACGGCGTTGGCAAGGCCGCAACCGATTTAGAGGGTACGGAAACAACGGTCAGCCAGGGTGCACCTATTAACAAGAAACAAGCAACGGTCGCAACCGTGCAATACGTCATGTCTAATTTAGAGGTTGCGGAACCAGCGGGTTAGAAACTCATATGCTTCTGTTCTACAAATTCTACATATACATATCTACATAAATACATTGTTTACACATACATCAAATTAATCAATCTAAACATCGATATGATTCTCAAGCTAAATATCTTTTCCGCGCGCTCTGTTGCACACAAGTCACTTGCCCTCAATCAGCTCACTGGCATCACTTTCTTCTGCCACTGCCTCTTCTTCCTTCAGAAGCTGAGGCTTAAGCTCGGACAAAGTGGACCAGCTTGCAGAACCAGGCGCTTCCATTTCGGCTTTGTAAAGAGTTCCGAAAACACGAAACAAATCACAGCCGCCAAGCCAGTACTTGAATTGGTACAAGCGGACCGCTTGATGCATCAGCGACTCCGTGCGGTCAGCTTGCTTTTCCGAGCTTCCATTCGTGTTTAGTGGCCTGCGACCAACTCCACGGCGGAAACCAGCAAAAAAACCGTCCAGCTTCTGCGTTCCTCCATACCGAATTTCCTTTGAAAACTCAGCACCATCCCACACACGCGTCTCAAGCTGCTTCGTGAATTCTGGGTGGGGAGGCTTGTGTTTCACACGAGTGTGTCCCAGCTTCTAATGCTCAAAAGACATCAAGTGCCTGTCATACAATGGAATTGCTAAGTTCCGGTACGCTTTCGCACCGTCAGTGTGGCAAACAGAACCAACCGCAAGAACAGGTTCGTCAGCTTCAAGCAAAAGGGCTTCCACAAGTTCCTTTGTGCTTTGTGCTTAGTGGACCACCACCTCCCTGTCCAGCCTGTGACACTCTGTACGGAAGACGGTGGATCCACACAAGACTGGAACCCCTTCGTGCAATTGCCAAGAAGCGAAGCCACACCACACCTTCTTGACGTCCGTTGAACGAAAACTGATTTCGTCCAATTCAACATCTGCGCCCAGCGCTCCCACCGTCAAGGTGGCTTGCAGTTGGTCCAAAATTGGAATGAAGAATTCAACTAATTGCTGGAAAAGATTTCGAACAGTTCGATGGTCCAAGTTCAAAATCAATGCACACTTGTCTGGCGAAAGGTGCAAAGGCGAGCAAAACAGCCACAAGGCTCCAGCAATGCTGCGCAAAGGCAGCTTGGCACTCCACAAGTTCTGTTTTGTGGCACTCTGAGTATTCTTGCACTTCTTGCACCGCCACATGGCCTGAAAGTCGCGCTCCTCCAGCACCCAATTTGGTGCTAGACAAGCACAAACTCCAACCAAGGGCTTTCCAAACAAGAAACCAATGCTGATCATCAGATCCACCAAAACTTTCGGAGTGGCTGCCAAAATGCTGTCCAAACTGGTTCGCTTGGCCTGTGCCTGTCGGGAAAGAAGGGGCACACGTCCTCGCTTTCGCGAAGGACTCACATCCTGCTTGCGAGTGTAACTCTTCGGACGTGCAAGCGAGGACGACGCAGGCTCAGCAACAAAGTCCACTTCGGGACTGCTGCCCTCATCCCTTGCGCCTGGCTGCCTCTTCTTCAAACCAGGGCGGGCTCGGACCCTTCGGTCACGGCCTGCAGTGCCCATGGTGACTTGGCAACCTGCGCTCCATCGCGCAGCCATTGCCGAGTTGGCAAGTTTTGGCGCCATTGTGAAACTGAGAGGAACTTAAACCGAAACAGCTGCCCGAGCAAGTTGACACAGTTCAAGAAAAGCAAGCAGCTGGAAACACTAAAACAAGAACAGTACTTCGAAACATCTTCAAAAAGATTAGACTTCACATCTATGCAGCAATGCGGAACTGTGCAACCAAGGTTTGCAAAAGTGCAACAGAGGTTTGTCGGCTGTGGTTCTGCCTTTCAAGTTCTTTGACAGTTTTTGGCAGTTTGTGCATCTTCCTGTTGTTTGTTGTTGCTTTCTGTGCTGCTTTGTTGCTTGAGAATGTTTTTTTTTAGTTTCAGTTGGACTAGACTTTGATCTGAGGCAAAGGCAAGATTAAATTGCTTCTTTTGTGGTTTCTGTGTTCTGTTTTTCAGGTGGTGGAACAGTTCAGTGACTCTCTTTGCTGCTTGATACGCTACGTCTGTATGTATGTGTGTCCTGTTTGGCGGCCGGCTGCCCAACAGCCACTGGAACCGGGCAACAGTTTCACTAAAATACAAAAATGCTACCACTGACCAGTAGAAACAGCATGACCAAGACATACGTAAAACTGGTGCCTCTGAAGCCGGGCATCCGTCCAGTCCGTGTAGTTCTTGGAGGGGCAAGGCCCAGGCAGACTCCACCACACCGCGCCGGGGTAGTAGATCTTGTAGGTGGGGAAAGGAAAGTGTCCTGGCGCTCGGCCGACCCTCGGCCGGCCCAATGGGAGCACTTGGCTCACCTGTTCTGAGGCGAAGGGTAGCCTTTTTTGGATGGCTGAAAAGGGGAAACCGACTGGAAACCGCGATTCTCCTATTTGGGTTTGTCAAAACCGGGTTCCGCAAGAAGGACACACCCATTTCAATTGGGAGCAGTGGCTTCAAAGGCATCCCTCTGCCCAAAGGACCTGGAAATAAAAGGCCACCCTTTTAAGACCTTAACCAAATGATCCATTTGTAAATTGGTTTTGCCAACCGCCGCAAAAAAAACAAATAACTAATAATTAGCAAAATAGCATAAAACATCGGGAGCGGTTGTTTTTCTCCGGTTTGCTCCCGCCTAACTTGTTGCAGCCCACGAAGTAGCCGTAGGTGTCCCACTCGAAGGCACCCACCACACTGCCGTTGTGCATGCCCACATCGAAGCTTCTGTTGAAGGGGCCTCCCACCACCCGCTGGCTCTCACGTGACGTGATGGCGTCGATATTGTTTCCCCCCAAAAAATGGCGGTGTTCCTTTCGGTTCCGCATTGAAACCTCCAAGCAAAAAGGTTACCCTCGAGAAATAGTACACATTGAAGTTCAAACTTATAGCTTATTTCAGTGGCCTTCAGGGTGTGTCTTGTGCGGGGCACCCCCAAAATGGCGCAACCGTTTTCCTTTGGACCGCCCATTAAAACTCCCAATCACGGTTTCCCCCCCCCGGCAAAAGAAAAAACTCTGTTCCACAAAAAGGCCCCTCCCCCCCCCCTCCCGCAAAAGACAGAAACAACAGGACGACCCATCGTAGACTTGCTCCAGAGGCCTTCTTGGAGTGCCCAAGGCGCCTTGGCATAGCTTCGGCCCGTACTTGTCGCGGCCGCACTCGAAGGGCCCAGTCGCTTGCCCGGAATCAAAAGCAAAGCCTTGGCCAAAAACTCGCCGACCGCCCCCTGACGAAGTCCTATGAACGCTTCTCTTTGACGACTATTTTGCGGTGCTTGACGATTGCCCTGCCTAAAACCCGCGAAAACCTCTAAGTTCTGTTTGTTTGTGCCTTCCGGTCAAAAGGCAAAGTTGGCCCGTTGTCTTGCTTCGGTTTGCCCTATGTTCATGGCGGTGTGAAACGCGTATTTTGTACACAACAAAATAAAACAAAAGCGAAGCAACACGTATTTGGCCGGCAGCCCCTTCCAATATCAAGTTAAAAGCTCCTTAACGTACTGCTATTCAGAAAAAAACACTGAACCCACCCACCCACCCACCCACCCACCCACCCACCCACCCGCCTAACCCTCCCTCCCACCCAACCCACCTAACCCAAATCAAACAACATGCATGATTGCACCTTTGGGGCAGCAAATCTGACCGGGGAGCGAAAAGCTTGAAGGAAAACCAAACAGAAAACGACACCAGCTGGTTGGGGCCCCCCAAAAAAGGACAAACCCAGCTGCTTACCTCTTCCCGCCGAACAGGTGCTGTTTTTGGTCTCTCGGCCAAGTTGCGCACTCCGAAGTTCATGCCCTTCTCCCACAAAGGCTGCGTCGCCCGCGTCTGAACCTGGCAAAGGACCCCACTCCGAATTCCATTTCGCATAAAACCCAAAAAATTGGGGCTGAGGTTGTTACCTGACCCCCCCCCCCCAAATCGCTTTTTTCCCCCCCTAAAAACCCAATGGAAGTGGCCAGCCATAGCTGGACCTTGGAAACATCCGCGAGACGTACCGCGAGACTCGACGGCCTTGAAGCGGATGATCTTCCTCAGAGCCGGCAGTTGCCAGTCATGTGGACGCCATATTTACTCAGATGCCCAGTGGATTTGCACGGGGAAAAAAAGGGCATCCTTTGTTGGTTGGTTGAGTTTAAAGGGGAACCCTTCCCAAAAAATGAAAGAAAAAACTGGGCAACTGGGTTAATCAACCCCAGTTTATTCATAGGAAACACCCCTAAATTGATAAACCGGGGGTGATCAATATGGGGTCAACAAGATTTCAGCTTACCGCGCTTCGGGCCTCCAACAAAAGGGCATCAATGCAGGAAAATGAGAAAGCTCGGCATGGGAATGTGTCAAAATGCATCCATGGGCTCGAAGGGGAAGTGACACGACATGTGGAGGCGGCCCTCGCTTTGAGACATACTCTATACATCTATAACTTGCCCCTTGCACAGCTGACTTCATCAATCTGAGAATCGTGATGCCGAACTTTCTCGGCGTTCTCTCGACCACTTCGTTGTGCAAGTACCACATGACACCCGCCAAGTTTGCAGCATTCACATTCCTTGGCTGCTAGCTCAGGCAAAAATTGTCCCTCGGACGGTCCGGTTTGGCACGTCGGAGAGTCTCTGAAGCAACCCTAGAAGTGGACAGGGGAACGGCTTCCACAAAAGGAAAGCTTTCGTCGTCCAACACCATCCGGTCGTCAGAGTCCATGGAACTTGGAGCGTACCCTCCCCCCAATTAACATGGAACCTTACCCTGTCAGGTTCCATGATACGTGGAGGGAGGATCACATTCTCTTCGGCGAGGCCAAAACTGCTGGCGAGGCGCATCGGTGGGTAGACCGTATCTCCAACTGCTCTGTACATGTAGAACGTGAACAAGGGCGCAGAGCTTTCCTGGAACCTTGGATTAAACCACACATCTACCATATGGGTGTCTTTTTGGGGGACCCTCAAAATTGATGGGTGTTCCTGTTGGTTTCCCGTGAAAATTACAAAACATGGGTAGCCTCAAGAAAAGACAGACCCATATCAAGCTATCAAACGAGGATATTTGTGAACTAAAAACAAAGACAGACTGTGTGTGTGTGTGTGTGGTGTGGGCCTATCAATGCTAGCCGGTTGCAGTTCGCGCTTGCTAGCTGCACGTTTTTTGGAGTGACAAGAACTGGCATTTCTTTGGGGTGGTTCAACTACTAAAAAAAGCAGTTGCTTCCACAGCTCCCTTCATTCCTGGCGGGATGCCTTTGATTCCCATCCAAACCAGCCCAAAGAATGGCCTGGCACTTAGCTGATCCGCTGGCAGTGTCAGCATGGCTGATCTATCAGTGCAAATGGCGGCCCGGATTGGGCCTCTTCCTTTTGGTGACCCCTAAACCCCAATCACACATATCCCTTCAACATCTCAGAAAAGTTGCCCGCGCCCTCCGCAAGAATCGACGCGTTTTCCTCGCTGCGCGAGCTCGGTTTTCCGATCAAGACGGCCGGGGGGCAAAATGTCGTCGCTCCAAATCGGCCTGGTGTCTTTGGTCGACGTGGTGGTGCCTCAAGCGCCCCACCGTCCCACGCGCCGCTCCACCCGTCCCTTCCGAAACTTTTTTCCAGCGCAAGGCCCAAGGAAGCGGCCGGGGAAACCGTGTGGCTCGGTCTTTTTGTGAGGGTACCCAATCCTTTTCGAGGGAAGCCAAAACGAAATCACCCAAAAGTGGGTTCCGAATCCCATTGACACATGGCCATTGGATGTCTTAGGTGATTTTGAATCCCAAGCTCAACCTCATCGGCCCGGCCAGACATGTGTGCGGCTCCGATCTTCTTCTGGAGATACCACCCGTTTTGGATATAAAGGGAAACCAAAAGGAAGACCGTTTCGAGACTTGGGCGGTCCGATTCCTGAAAAAGACACACCTGACACAGCCATGTGAGATCATCTTGCTGCTTGGCTGCTAGTAGTACGTGTCTGGGTGGTAGTGGTGGTGGTGAAGTTGCTGCTGGAGGTTGAGGTCGATGTCATGGTCGTCATTGTCTTGGTGGTCACTGTGTAACTTGTCGGGGTTGCAGTCGTTGACAAGGTGGTCTTGTCTGGAACAGTGTCATTCACGTCGAGCTCTTTCAAGACCTCGCCTGCCGTCCGGTGAATCCGGTTTTTCGCCACTGGCCGATGGCATTCAAAAAAAATGCTCCCTTGCAGACCTTGGGTTGTCGCACTCACAATGCATGGTGGGACTTTGCACTATACCACTGAACGGCTTCTCAAACAGGGGCATCTGCCAGTTGAGGCGGCCCGGATCCTGTCCAGCAAAACTAAGAAGAAGCGAAGGAGAAAGCGAGCATTCGCACATTTCTATCAACATGTATGTTCTTGGGGAACCCCTGAATATGGTTTTCCTGCCTTGCGGTTCCCCTTCAAACCCCAACAAAGGGGGTACCCTGACCGCATAACACCATACATGGGGTGGATGGACATAAATCCCCGCCGAATTCCGTCCACCAGAGCGTCCTTCTGGTCTCCGTGTTTTTCAGGGTGCCTGTGTTCTTTTCCCAAAAGCCCAACATGAACACTGCTCGGCCAATTTTTGGGGCTCTGAAACGAAAAAACATCGCCACCCTCGAAACATCGACACCGATCCGCACCGCGAAGGAGGGGATCCGCTGCAGCACAAAGGCACCTAGCTCAAACCCCGAAAAGCTCCACCCGAAAAGCGCGAGGTCGTCGGGAAACAAAAATCCATGGGAAAACCCCCGGAAAGTGGGCAAGACATGTTTTTTCTAAACCAGTGGAACCCAACTTTTTTTGATCAAACCTACGGACACCTATGCCTCTTACCGTATATTCGTGGTTGAGATTGGTTACTTTCCCATTTTCCGAACCAATCCAAAGCACCAATGGGGGTTACCTGAAACGGGATCCTTACCATTGGTGGCCTTCTCCAGAAATAGACCCAGACCCCATGTAGGGAACATTTACCGGCATGTACCCTCCAAATGGGTCAAGTTTTGGTTTATATACATGGAGCAAAGCGGGATAGATAGGTTGAATTGGTAAATGGGCCATAAAACCAATCTAAACAGTGGAACCCATCTATTGTCTAACCAAACTAACCGATCAAGAGGACACCTATGAACGCGAGTTTATCTGGGTGGTTTCTGGGGATACCCAACATAATCCACATGTTTCTCACATGGTTGATCTGGGTGCTTCTCAACAAAGAGCATGAAGGTGGGCGGTCTCCTTTGTCTATCCTTCTCAACACCAAAAGGGATCCATTTTGAGAAACTCGCATGTGAAAATATCATCCAAAGGCCATTTCCCATGTGTACCTTAAGGTGGAACACATGCAAGCCTCGGACAGCCACCTCAGCCCACAAATCTGACCCCAGCAATCAGATCACGTCGCATGGCCATCGCCTTGAGGATCTATCTGGGGCCCCGGCACAAACAGGGCTCTAAGTTCTAATCGTAACCGCACGTTGGCGCGCATCTCCTTGGCACGCAACAGCTGCAAAACCGATTTGAATCACGCGCGGCCCTGTTGGGGGCCCCTGGGTTCGTGGGTGCGTTAGACACCCAACAGCAACTCACAAAATGTGGGCGTGAAATTCCTAACGAGGGGCCCTCTGGGGGTTTATCTTCACAAATCGCTTGGGATGGTATGCCTTAAAATAAATTTCTCGGCACCGTTGAGGGCGCCGTTTTCTAGGCTTGTTTTCAAGGAAACCACAGGTGAACCACTGGCGTCTTCTGGGGTTCCCTCAAATCTCGGTTGCTTTCTGCTCCCCTGCGAAAAGTGACTAACTTTTCGTGGTCTTCATGAAAAGCCCAATTAGTTACCAAAACTACTTTCAGTCCTAACATCCAAGCAAACTGCACCTCTGTAAAATCGCCATGCTCGATACACTTGGCTCCAGCTCGCGCAGCCAAGGCGCCTCCTCGCGTGCTTGTGACGCCGAAACCCGTGTGCAAAATCTTTGTTTTGGCTGCACAGCT